ATTATAGTAAATCATATATTATAAATTGCTGTTAATTACCGTAAAAATAGTTTAAAACTAATTTGGCTATGTTAGATTTTACCCTGATTAATAACTTAAATTTATGCTAAAGCCAATACTATGCAAAGCTGGGCACCCCGGGCACCACGGGCACCCCGGGCACCCCGGGCACCCCGGGCAATTCATCCTCCACCAATCTAAAAACGTGATAAGAATTAATATAAAAATTGTATTAATAAATAATAAAATATATTGTACTTTGTTGTTTGCTATAAGTAGGTTGTTTTCATATTGACCATTTTTAGATAAATATATTTTTTTTGTGTTAATTATCAATTGATTTATATGATAAATAAGCATATGCAACTATTATTCACTAACTGATCATTAAGACGCAGGTAAGAAATATACAATAAAATAATACTGAATATATAAATAATTATTTGATCCAACATAATTAAAATATATAATTTGTCTACGTGTCTAAGTTTTATCAGACTTATTAACATTTTAACAATTTTTGATAAAATAGTGGCTAATTCATTATTGTTCTTGTTAAAGTTACACTTTATAAATAACTTGATCGTTCATGTTAAAACGACAACGATACGGCTTTAACTAGCTATTTAGTTTATAACTTAAATATAATTGTGAGAAAACTATTAGACATAATTTGATGAAAACAATTATTGAAATATATTATGAGAAATAAAACTTTTATTTACCAAAACCATTCACCACTACTTTGTTTGAAGTGGCCATTTGTTAATATTAATAATTTTAACAAAAGTCATTGTAAATTTATTGTAATCAAGTAAAATTATTTAATTCATATTATGTTTATCCTGAATTCCATGTAATAAAGTGAATTATTATTAAAGTATCCCCTATATAACCGCCCTCAATATAACTTATAATATTAATGCTATACTTATATTAAATGCTATATTTATACTAAACACAAGGTTTAGTAATATAATAGTTTTATTTAAATTATATAACCATAACATTATATAAATGCTTTAATCTAGCCGATATTAAATATTTTTATATCTTGAATACAATATATTTCATTAAAATCCGTCTAGTAGTTATCAAATCTAGTTATTTCATAATTTAACATTGCAATCAATCACATTGTCATTGTTTAATTAACTGCTAAAATATCGGAGAAACAATTGAAGAGCTTGATTATGAACATGAGCATTTAGAGGGATGGCGGGGCTGAAATTTGTTAGACGTGGTTTTTGAATCAACAAGCTTATTAATCGACTAGTATTCATTATAAACGTTACAATAATTACAGTCACAAAGTACCCTGATGCCCATGACAAATAATCAATCGTAAAGTTATACAAAAATGTTTCATATAAAAGTTTATTAAATATAAAGTAATCGCGTTTAAACCCCACTCATTATATTAGTGTACTTTATATCTGAATGAATTATGAATAGCGTATAAATTATAACATACTATTTAATGTTATGTTCCCTCAGGGGAACAATTTTGTGACTCTTGATTATGAATAACTTTATATTTACACTAGTTAATATAATATTGATATTTATCATAAATTTATTTCACTCATAATTTGGGCGTAATTATAATGATATAGAACAAGCATGTTTATTATAATATTTTCACCCACACAATTTTAGCCATATTACAAGTATAAAAATATATTACAAATAAAAAACATATTAGACAATATTCAAACTTTATTTAACTTGAATTTTACTTATTAATTTAGCTATTAAAATTAAACCTGTTAAAGAATTATGGTAACTTTAAAATTTAACTATTTATTAATTCAAATAGATCAAATTTTATGTTTAATGTGTTAAATAATTAATTGATTATAAATAATTATAACTTAACGTAAAGGTGTGGTTTCCTTATTAGATACTTACGGCTAAATTATTTTAATAAGTTATCATGGCAACTATTACTCAGACTACCGATCCCAATACCATTCAGCAATTACCAATTTATAATGATAGATTAAATATAAATTTTGCCATTATAAATAAACTTGGTTCCGGATCATTTGGCGATGTATCCCGGGTGAGTCACAAACTAATTTGCCGTGATTACGCCATCAAGATAGTTAAAGTTAAGAAACAGGATGATATTAAAAAATATATGCGCGAGCTAAACGTATGGTCAAAATTGCAATCGCACCATGTTGTACAGTACATCGCGCACTGGCTGGAGCGCACGGGTGCCGATCTATTATTCACCATGTACATTTTGATGGATTTGTGTGTGGACAACTTGCGCAATTTGATCACAATGAAAACTAAAAAATATCCACGCCGACAATTTTTCAACATTGACCAATGGGATTATTTAATATCGTACTATTTGTTTATGGAAACGGCCGAGTGCGTTCATTATTTGCACACTCACCAACCAACGATCATTCACCGAGATCTCAAACCAAGCAATATACTATTCACATTCACTCGTGGTAAACTGTGTTTAAAAATTGGCGATTTTGGTCTGGCAACTTTACATAATGATGACATACATTCCCATACGCTTAGTGTTGGCACCACTAAATATATAGCGCCAGAAGTTTACCGCCTGTCCCGCTATACCACTGCTGTAGATATCTATAGTTTGGGTGTCATTTGCGAAGAGATATTTAATTTTGATTCGTTAGGGTAAGTTAGATTTAATATCGCATCAAAAATTATGTAATAAAGTTATAAAACACCATGGAGTGTTTTACATGTATTTTACATAACTTTCTTACATGTGTGGTTTGAAAATAAACCATGTTGTTACATAAAACCACATTACTTATTATAGTTATTTGTGTAACTGTTAATTAAAGATTGTTTTATTACTACAGCGATGAATTGTTGGAAGATATGTGTTTCAAATTAAAACATTTCATCTTGCAACTTACAACCACAATGCCATCCGACAGACCTAACATAAGGGGAACTTTAGATATGTTTAATGAGTTAGCCATTGATAGTAGTTTTGCATTGAAAGAACTTGTTTATAGTGTTGACAACAAGGAAGATTATAAAAATATATTAAGTAAATGTATCATGATCAAAATCAAGCAATGGTTTTCTACGGATACAGCAAATAATCAAGATAAAATTGACGTAAAAAGTTTTTATAATGAAACCAGATTAAAAAATTATATAAAAGAAAATGTAAAAATAGACTTGGTCAATGTAAACGACTTTGATATGATGGATTTATTAAGCTTAAATAGCTCGCCATTTGGATCACAATTATATAAAGCTAAACATAAATTAATCGACAGCTCCTATGCTATTAAGAAAATAACATGTTTTGGTAAATAACTAAGCTAATATAAATATTTAACACGTGTTAATATTAATAGCATTAATTTAGATCCAGATCAGTTAAAACATGCGCTAAAAGGGATACAATTATGGGCGCAGTTAGACCCCGATCATTGCGTTCAATACCGGTACCATTGGTTTGAGAATGGTGAAAAAATAAAGGAGCACAAAAACAAACATGTTAAACTGCTATATATTCAAATGGATTTGTGTTGGTTCTCATTGCGAGAGCTCATGGACAAAATTCAAACATATTTTGGCCATGCTAAATATCAATTATTGCCACCCCTGGGTTACTACATGGCATCGGAATTATTTACCGAGATACTATCTGCCATTCAATATTTACATTCATTAAACATTGTTCATCGATATATTAATTCTGATAATATACTTGTTAAACACGAATCATGCAGCGGACGATTTATTAAACTAGGTGATTTTGGTCTCGAAAGCACTAGGAATCTACCCGTTGACTACCCATCGCATATACAGTCTATCAACGGTGATAGTGACAGATATATAGCGCCGGAAGTGAAAAATGGTAGTATTTGTGACACCAAAGCCGATGTATATAGCGTTGGCGTTATTGCCCAACAATTGTTCAACTTTGATGTCAATAAAATCGGGTATAACTTTACTTATCATTGTATTATAAATTATAATGTTGAACACTGGTATATTTCACTAATGTTATCGACAATATTTCACTGTTATTAAATATGTATAGGGTAGATACCTCACGGATATTTGCATTAGATTAAAGTGTAGATCTGACTGTGATTAGTTTTTTTTAATTTAATTAGATGATAAAATTGTTTAACATGTTGTATTTTATTCATAGGAAAATAGAAAACAAACACAAAGAATACTATGGTAAAATAGAAGAAATTGTGACCAAGTGCACTAACGGACTTATTGCAAATCGGCCATTATGCATAGATATACTTGAGTGCCGGAGCAATTGGGCACCGGCATATGAAAGTGTTAGAGTGAATATCACCATGATGGGCATTGATTCAAGCGTTAATTACGACCATAATAAATATTTTCTTGAATATTTTTTGGCTGTAAAACGCAATACTAACGATTGCGCAGAAAAATCCGTAAACGACGCAAAAAGCAAAATGGAGCTCGAATTGGATTTTTCAGTATTTCAAAATGGTAAATTCAAACGTGAATTTAAACTAGACAATATCCTGACCACACCGGGTAGATATGGTAAAATTTTGAACACCATTGCCCATCGGGATACTATACGTTATGCTGTTAAAAAAGTTAAGTTAGATGGTAAAAAATCAAATTCATTGTTTTAAATCAGGTACTTGTATTTTAAGTTAATTAATGTGTTAAATATTTTACGTAGGTGAGCACGAATTAAAGCTAACAATTAAATCAATAGAATTATGGTCAAAATTGGACAATGAATATTTTGTAAAATACCATGATCATTGGGTTGAATTTGAAAACGAGCCAAACGATCGTGTGCCATATTTGTACATTCAAATGGAGTTATGTTGGCTATCATTGGGTACATTAATTGAACAAATGCTTAACTACTTTCAATCAGAGAAGAAACAATTGTTTAACCCATTGGGCTATTATATGGCATCCGAGATAATGGTAGAGATTGTGACCGCGGTGAAAATACTACACACTAGCAAACCGCCAATAATACACCGTGATATAAACTTGAACAATGTTTTAATATACCCTCATACCAAACATCCAGGTAAGTATGTAAAATTGTCGGATTTTGGCCTGGCCGTTTACCACGATCCCCAAGCCATGTCACATACACAGAATAAAGGCACAGAACGGTATATGGCACCTGAGGTCAGGGGTGGGCGCAGGTATAATACTTTGGCCGATATTTACAGTCTGGGAATGGTTGGCCAGGATTTGTTCAATTTTGATAATAACACAATCGGGTAATTATTATGAATATTATTATGAATATTAATATGCTTATGTAATTAATGACTCATACTAATAATACAACATTGTACAACAATTTGCACAATAATTTAATCATATTGTACTAATTAAGTTATAGATTTTATGTCATAATATAATTTTATCATAATTTTATAGGAGACTAAATCCGGATGACATGTATAAGACAATTGAACACGTGATCGGCAATTGCTTGAAGGGTACGGCCAATGAGAGACCCACTTGTGAACAGATACTGGCCATTAGTGACCAATGGGCCACCAGTGTTACCGATGTTAAACATTTAATCACCGGGGTCACCGATTGCAAATATAATGGCCATGATAATTTTATTCAGTATTTTCTAAATGAAAAATGCAAATTATAGTTTGTTAAGAATTACCAACAAATTATTATACTTGAGACAAATTTAAAAAGACAAACTTTAAATTTAAATAATAGATTGAAAATATATTGATTGAATAATATTGATCAAAGTAAGGATTAAACCGATCATGTATTAAAATCACAATTTAATGATAATGTATTTTAATATTTTGTAAATAATTATTTTATCTATTACATAAATTTAATACTATATGTAAAACTATATCTGAATATGAATTTTTATTTAAAAGTATAAATGAAAGTATTTAAAAGTATCTATGATAATAACAGCGTTAACAGAATATGTAAAAGATAGTTAAATATTAAAATTATTTTTGAATTATATTTGCTACTTAACCCATAAAATTTTTTTATTATTATTTAAAATATATTTTAATTACTTTTTTGAAATTTTAGTTAGTTAATGTTTTTATAATTATTTATGTACTTTTTTAGAAGTTTTCACTGAATTCAAGCTGTCTTAAAATAAAAATAAATTTAATACAATTAAACCCATATTAATTAGTATGTTCTTACTTAATGTATGTAATTGTATTATGTTTTAGTTATATAAATGAACTATATAAACTACATGAATGACATAAAAATGGAATTACTGTAGTATAATGAAATTACTATTATTATTAAATATAATAATTAATAATTCTAAATTTTTACAATCATGTTTTTAGCTAGTTTTGTATTTGGTAAGTAGGAAGTACTGTACGAATTGTGTGCTGTAATTGTATTCTTTGGATGTATCGATGACGCCATTATTATCGCGTTCAAGTATATTTATTAGATCATGTTTAACATCATTGAATGATTCTGCCCACGATTCCCTATTCTCAAAAATCTCCTTAATACTCGGCCTTTCAACTGGCGTTCCAATAGTGCACTGACTAATCATTTTCATAAATCCACGATGCTTATGATTGTTCATCTCAAATAATTTTCTGTAATTACAATAATATTTGAGTCAAGAGATAAAATACAATGTGTAATTATTTAAATATTGCAAAATTGTGTTGAATGTCAAGTTAATTTTAAAAATTAGCAATATTACAGTTATCACAGTAACACAACTAATCTTCATGCTATAATTCTGTTCACGTTTAATGATTGTACTATATGTTAACAATCGCTATATAATAAAATATGAAAACATAATAATATATATTACTTGTGTTTATCAAACTCTAATATATCCATCAGCACCATTCCAAAACTGTATACATCGGCTTTCGAACCATATCGCTCGAATTTCAAAATCTCGGGGGCGATATATCTGTTGACTGAATTACCTACACTAGCTGTGCGGCTAACCATAGTGTGGGTATATGAGTGACCTTGATGTTCAGTGGAGCGGCCAAAATCGGCCAGTTTAACAAATCTACCGCTTATGTAACGTTTAAGTAATATATTGCCCGGTTTCAAATTAGTGTGCAATATATTTTGTTTGTGTAATGCTCTGAGCGATTCCAGAATCTCGTAAGCTAGTTCGGTTATTATAAAATAACACACTCGTTGTATGGAGCTTAATTGATCAGTCGTGCTAGTAATACAATTATCGACATATTCCAACACACGCTCTATAGCGTTAATTATATTGAACCAACATAAATCCATTTGTACAGTAAGCGTATAGATTTTTTCGCCAGGGTAGATTATGTTCAAAGGGGCTGGCCTATGATAGACAAATGTATAACTATCTTAATATGATATATTTCGTTAATTATATATTTATAAAAACAAATATACTGTAGATTTTTAGATTATATGACTTTTAATCTAGAAGACTATTCTTAATAATTGAAAATAATGTTAAGCTCATTTATGACATTAAACTTAAACATTAAACAAGGATCACACAGCGATCATATAAGTTAAACAAAATTTGAATGATGCTCAAAGAATAGATTATGAACTAGATTTAATATTAGTATTAATATTAGTATTAAATTTAGTATTAGTCCTATATATTTAACATTATCCATAGACGTAGCGTTATTAATATTATTCGTATGCCATAGACTTAGCATTACTCATGTTATCCCTATGTCAAGGACTTAAGTTGTAATCCTATATAAATTCAAGCTAAAGCGTCTCCATGTTAATCCTATGAGCTCCCCCATGTTAAAGTATAGCCATAGGATTAACATAGGCTCCCATGTTAAATCCCGTTAGGTGGAGGAGGGGTAGCCGAACGATCCTATAGAATACATTCTACATAAACTATATTGTGGTTAAAAATGTATTTTAATATATTGAAAAGCATTCATTTTTGTAATTTCTATATTAAATGCTATCAAATACTGTGAATGAGTTTTAAAATTATTTTCAATGGCTAATAGTAATTTTCTAGATTAAAACTCATATGATCTACATTTACGGCATTTACAATATTGTTATGACTATGCACTTACAGATCGCTTGATTTATAGCTAAACCAATGATGTCGGTACTGTACAAAATGATCCATGTCCAATTTAGCCCATCTGCGTATCTCTTTCAACTTGTGTTTGAATGCTCCATCTGTTTGATATACCATTAAATACTTAAATAACATACAATAACAACATATGAAAGACTTTATCGCATAGTAAGGTATATACCATTACTCAATGAATGAGTTTATATTAACAACTTATGCATTTACAATTATTTACTAATGTAAACTTGTGGTCAATATTATATTTGATGAATAGGATATACCTTAATATGCGATAAACTCCTTCACATAATATTAGCAAACTCTTAAACTATGAAACAAATTACGATTAAATTTAGTGGTCTTTATAACATAATCGCAGTCCGCCAGTATGTGAGTAACCTTAAACACGTTATTCCCCAAATGTTTGTAGTTGTTAAATTCATTGACAAATCTGTCACAATCTTTACTGTTCTTTAGGCATCTTAAATAATTGCTAAAATCATCATCAGTCAATTTAGGGACAGTGTCTTGGATGACACTATAACCTTCGGATTTCTTCATTTTTGTCTCAATTTGTGTAATTCTAGCTTTAATTTCAGCCATATCAAGTGGACCATTCTTTGGCTTTAATGTGGTTAATATTTTTAGGGCTTCGTCTGTATCAGGCCTTTCGTCGGAGTACCTGTCACTTAAGTGTCTAATGAACACTTTCATTGCACTATGTTCAGGGTCCAATTTATTTGGCTGTTTGAATCTATTATGATCAATTTTTAATGCATTTTCAAAATTATATACACACACGCAAATTAATTAAACTAAAATTACAGCGAAACTACCTAAACAAAATTACTGAATTTATTATTAATTATTAATAAAGTAAATTATTATAACATTTAAAATAAATTGTTTGATAGATAAACTGGCATAAACTAATTTAACAAATAACTTACTTTTCAAAATTAAATAATTCTTCAAAAATAACCCCGAGTGCATAAATATCGACCTTAAAATCATAATTGTCAAAACCACGGAACACCTCGGGCGCTTCAAACATAGGTGTGCCTAATTGTGGGCTGTGGTCATTAAACGGGCCTTTGTTATGAAAAGCAGCTAGACCAAAATCGCAAATTTTAAGTCGTACATGGTCAACAGTATTCACCACCAGTATATTGCCTGGTTTTAAGTCACGATGCAAAATGCCGTTATCGTGCAAATATTTTACGCCTACCATGATCTCTGTGCACATCCAATAGTTAAATTCATAAATAACCAATGTGCATATATCTTTTCCATAATATAACATTTTGGCATTGTTTAATGTTATTAAGCTATAAGAACACATGTCCATTTGTAAGTACAAAAATGTGCGTAGGCCTTTATTGTTTGCGCGCTTTTGCAACCAATGGGTGCGATATTGTACAATATATTCGGATTGTAACTTCGCCCATACCTGTATCTCCCGGTGCCATTTAACACGTCGATTTTGATCGAGTTCCACTGTCTTAATGGCATATTGTTTGCCAATTAATTTGTGACGCGCCTTGATCACCTCGCCAAACCCACCACGCCCTAATTTACCTTCTGTTATAAAATTGTCTTCAAATCTCGTTTTATACACGTATTTATTATTCATCATGTAAATTTATATTAGCACAGATATACTGGAAAACTTGTATAAATTATTAATAAATTTTTAAAAATTACTTTAAATTAATTTAATATTTAAACAAATAACAAGTAATTTGGTTTAAGTTGCATTGAGTTATGGAGTGTAACAAATATAATTATCTTAAGCCTTTTATTGAAATTGATAATGAAGTTGTACAATGTTAATTGACTCATCGTTATCTTTGCTCATTAATCACATTTTTACAATTCTTATAAGATATAACATAATAATACCTATGGATGTGACACCTATGCAAAACTCTTATTATTTTGTTATAAATAATATAGTTTTATATAAAATAAAATGTTGCAATGTAACTAAAATTTCTATTTGTTATTTTATTGGCTTCTATTGCCAACTTATTAATAAACTAAACATTTTGTAATTAAGTAAAATTTTAAATAATTAATTTACATATTTACATTTTATTCATTTAAAATAAAATTAAATTAATTACAATCATGTAAATTTTAAAAATTATATTTTAAATTAAAATAACTTAATAAAAACATGTGTTTCAAATAGAGTGGATTATTAAAAATATGTTTTAAACAAGTTTTTACTTTTTGAATTTTATAACTCAATTTAAATGTGTTATACCTCTCCATCAAGTTTATAATAGTTGGCCGTGTTGCATATTTATAATTCAACATTGGTGAAATTTCACATTTCAATTTCTGTATTTGCTCATGATCATTTAAATCATTATCGATGTCAATAAATCTAAATAAATTAATATTAAATTTTGTTTAGTTATAAAAAAATAGTTACATTCATTACAAAGTTAAATATAAATAGTTATATATTCTTTATAAATAATAAAATTAATAAATTATTCTTACGATATAGTGCTTATTAAATCCATTACAGTTTGTCCTAGACTAAATATATCGCAAGCAGGTGTGTATATAGCATGTTCGGCTTCAGGTGCTCGATATTTTTCACTTCCTTTAAATTTATCGTAACGTGACACATTATTAATCATGATCGATTCGCCAAAATCACCTATACGAATCAATTTACCATTTTTTAAATAGGGATCGCAAAGTATGTTTGAAGGTTTAATGTCCAGATGCAAAATTGCCGGTTGGCTAACGTATTGCATATAATATAACGCACTCAATAATTCGCCATAAATACGCCAACATATTTCATAATCAAATATTTTAACATTTGAATCAGGGTGTGCAATTAATATTTCATTCTTCATCTCGATCACATTCTTTAAATTTAAATCACAATAATCCATTATAATTGCCATGTATTTGTTGTCAATAATTCGTGCATCATGATAATTAACAATGCATTTATGTTTTAATGCAGCCATTATTGTTTTTTCAGTAAACAACACTACGATAAAAATTATTTTAATGATAAAATTTTATTAATTATTTTATTGTAAACACTTTTTCCATATAAATATAAATGCATGTGTCTAGATTATTTACAATACATTATAATCATTTATAACTTACTATTAAACGTTGTAAATTTCACGGCACGAATATGAGCATCAATTGCACTCCGTACTTTGATAACTTTACCAAAATTACCATGACTAATTTCTTCTATAAAGTCATACATATAATTTGTAGTTTTGTTGAAGTTCGCAATCACTTTTGGTAACTCATTTAGGTCCATGAGAGGTGTTTCTTCGTGGTTATTATTATAAAAAATCAGGAAATAATTAAATAAAAACTTGTATTTCAAATTGGTACCCTGTTCAAATATAGTGCTCAATTCGATTGCAGACGAATTTATGTCAATTTCTAGCAGATATTCATTAAACTCCTTTATTAGTTGTAGTGTATTTGGTCTATTTGACATGCGAGGTTCTAACATTTTGTTGCTGTTTAATATGGCTACTTCTGTATAAGATCTTGATTGACAATTTTTCTGTACACTATAATGTTAAAAATGTGTTATTATTAATAATTAATATTTATCAAATATGTAATAAAAAATCACTAATATTAAAAAAATGAAAAGCTTTACATAATAAATTTATTCCTTATATATCTGGTTATATTAATAGACTTCTCAAAAGTAAATTCTAATAGCAAAAATTATTCGGTCTAGATTCTTTAATGATATATCAAAATAATCATCAACTGCGAAAATTATTGTTATGTTATGGTCAATATGCTTGGCCTACTATTTTAGAAGTAATCTTAAAATTATCTAAATTTTCTATTTTTTTCATAAACATAATGTTAAATTCAAACTTTATTTTGAGCTAAACTAAGCTAACTTAACATTATGTTACTTACTTATTAATATTAAAAAGTTGTCTCAAAATTAGACCTAAACTATACACATCAGACTTTGTAGAATAGGCACCAATGCAAGTTTCAGGAGCCATATATGACGTTGTACCAATACTTCGTGAACCATATACAGTACTATCATGCATTGGCAAGGATAAACCAAAATCGGACAAACGGATTATTGTACCGTTGGTTAAATTATGATCGCATAATATATTTTCTGGTTTAAGGTCACGATGAATTATTGATGGTACTGCCGTATAGCTTAGGTAATTTAATGCGCTTAGTATTTCGCCGTATATACGCCATGAAATGAGGTAGTCAAATAATTTAATATGATTGTTTGGATAAGCACATAATAATTCATCTTTCAATCTAATAACATATTTTAGGTTTGATTTATAATATTCCATTTTAATGACGACAAACATATTTTTAATAACCATATGATCATGGTAGCCAACAATACATTTATGGTTTAGTCTAGACAATATTGTGCCTTCTTTTATTGCATCTGAATATGATGATCCGGCTGTTAAAAATTGCTTCATTATTTAATATGTCATATACAATTTTTATGCACAGTTTATATGTAATTAAGTATATTATTACTACATACAGTCTAAGTTACAAATTTTCAGAGCATATATGTTGTCGTCAATTTTGCTCCTTGCTTTAAATACAGAACCAAAACTTCCAGAGCCAATTGATTTAATAAATACATACAAATCTCCTATTTGTTCTTGATACGTTTTAATAGAATAATTAAAGTGTTTATCAACATGGCCAAAAGAATTGCGAGATGAACACTGGATTTTATCGCATAGTGTATGTACGGTGTGCAAGCTATATAAATTGTAAACATTATTTCTGTAATGTAACTTACATTTTACTAATTTAAATTATTGAGTTCAAATAAAAATAACAAAAAATATAGTATTTACATTGCTTTTTGATGATAATGTTGAATATATTTATCGGTTCTATCTTGGTCATTTTGGACATCAATAACCTTGTATAATATTTTGTGTCAATTATAATTTATAGTTTTTATTAAAGCTACAAGATGAGATGCTAGTATATCTATTGCTAACTTGAATATGTTTTTACCTCATTTTAAAATTATAATACTTTTTTAAAAAATTATCTTTTTCCAATAAAGCTATACCATCATGATCGGCGCATACAGTAACAATATCATAAATAAGTGGTTTTTGACCAATCAGTGTTAATATTTCTGAACACGTTGGCCTATCAGATGCTTTTACTGCAATCATACGAGCCAATAAATCTTTAAGCTCCGGGTGTATGGCAATTTTATTGCTAAATTGGTAATGCAATATTTATGTAATGCAATAGACAATAATATCGATTATAGACAAATATTTTAATAATATATACTTGTTAATGTCGATATTGAAAAATTGTATTAGCGTAATACCCAGGCTAAATATATCGGCCAGCTTATTGTATTTACCGCCCCATTTTACCTCGGGCGCCTGGTAGGTGGGTGTGCCCACATTGGCGGTATGCTGTGATGCGGATTCTTCAATTTTGGATAACCCAAAATCGCATATTTTAATTACACAATCGTTACCTTGTTGTTTCATTAATATATTACGCTGGTTTATATCCCGATGCATTATATCCATGCCGTGTAAATAGTTTAAACCGTTAAGGATCTCGTCGACCATGGTGATTGAGATAAAATAATTAACCGGACGTATCACCTCGTTAGTTTTGCGCTTATAGACATTTGTAATAAATTCATATACATTATATAGATTGTAATTACAAATATCCATCATGATGTAAATTTTGTCAAGTTTATTGCCCTGTTCGCGCCACGCCCCAAAGTATAATACTTGATCACATTAATGTGATCGCACAATTTCAACAAGCTAACTTCGCGGTTAATGTCTTTCTCATGTTGATTATCTGCAATTAATTTATTTATTTTTAAAAATAAATATATTCCAATAATTTTTATTAATGATTACTTTTAAACTTCTACAAGTATTTTTATTACTTTAATTATAGATTATTAAATATACCTTTAAGTAGCTCAATTTCTTTAATTGCATAAACACTTTTGTTCATTATAGATTGAACATAATACACTTTACTAAAATTTCCATAACCAATTAATTTGATTTGGTTAAAATCGGTACAATATCTACCATTTGCCACTTCAATCGACACTTCCATAGCTAAATTATTCGCCGCCATATTTAAATTAAATGCTGGAATACAACAACACAAATATTCAACACATAATTAGTTTATAACTTATAATAAAGACAATAAATTCACTTATCACAACTATTTATATTGTAAAGTATAATTTATATTAATTGATAGTAACCTAGTTAAATATCTTTATATGCATTACATGTATGCAAGAAATCTAGAAATCCTTTATTATACCGGTAATAAGATTTTGTTGAATATACAAAAAGTTTACTTACATTATATTATATTTGATAGTGACAAATTAATTTGTAATAAATTGTATCCTAACTACTTTGTATAACTAACATTTGCTGAGAGAGAGAGAGAGAGAGAGAGAGAGAGAGAAAGAGCGAGAGAAGAGCCACTTTTGATAGCATAGAGTCGGCTGTTGTGTAAAGCAGTGNGAGAGAGAGAGAGAGAGAGAGAGAGAGATTCATTACAAAAATAATTTTATAATTATACACTTTATAATTAAACAAAATACTAAATATAATATGAATAAATAGTCAACCATGATTAAAATGAGTGAAAAATTATTAAGCTGTCTTTCAAGTGGTGCATATTATGTAACTGTAAATATTATTAAGAATTTTTATTTTAGTAAACTATTATCTAATTTACAGAATATTGGTGCATTTTGTGGACAAAATTTTGACCTTGTTAAATATATATTTTTGTTAGCAACTATTTGTATTAATACTTTTACGATTAATTATATAAAATTTAAATTGTAAATAATACATAAAACTGCATCAGATTATGTTTTAACATTTTAAAAATATAATTAACTGGCCACAATTTAAGTCATTAAATAAATTTAATAATTTATATTACAGATATGAATTAAAATTAAACATACTTTTAATGTTTTCAACATTATTAGAATTTCTATATTTAATTGATAAATGCTGTAAGTGTTATGAGATAACGGATTGTGGTCGGATTAATAAGTATGTGTAAGGTTTGACCACAATATCAATATTTAAAAATATAATTGTGAATATACCAGTCACACATACCAGAGCGTAGGATACATTGCATGCATTTTACATTAAATAAATGTAACAAATTTATTCTAATATGGTTCAATAATTAAACAATATTTAAAATAATTATAATGGGTCGATTGGTTTTTTGATAATTTATTATACATTTAAATCTATTAAAACTTATGGTAATATTTTATTATTTATTAATATAATCAATATAAATCCATTCAATGGGATTATCTTCATGGTTTTTTATATATCCATCACTCACAGTATACCGGATGTGTGAGTGAGAGTTACAAATATAACCTACTTTAACAATTGATAAAAGTTGAATAAGATTATGTCAAATAGTCTAAACTGTACCAAACAGTTCTAGACTATTTATTTGTGAAATGTTGATACTTTTCATATTTGGTGGCGATTTGTAATTTGGCGATGGTGGCTGCATGATAAATTTCAGCAATGTACTAATGAAATAATAGTCGTAAGATGCCATGACCAATTATGTAGTGTATATTTTAAATGCGTTAATTATTTATCATATTTAGGCGATGTTGCAAAATGAAACAAGGTTCACACGCGATGCTATACGTTAACCACTATTCGTTATCTCATAACACTTACAGCATTTATCAATTAAATATAGAAATTCTAATAATGTTGAAA